GACAGGCAGACTACACAACAAACAGAAAGATGGACGGACGCACGGACGGGCTGAAGAACGCTTCACCCCACTCATCATCATTCGCTCTGTGGATATGCTGTGATTTTTTTATCTTTTTCTGCTCTGTAAGCAGTGAGGCTGGGTCCCTTAAGTTGCTACTCATTAGTATCACTACAATGCATTGTCGTGTGGCTCCTAAGGGCTGTCGTTTTTGCGGTGCGGCGCAATCAAGATGGGGAATTGGCACATGGCACCTAAAGTTTTCAAATTAACCGGACCTGTGCTGACTGCCGCTTCAAATGATCTGCTCAGACTTACATTACCAAATACAGGACCAGCAAAAATATTTCGAATTAAGTGGGCTTTTGAAGTAACCGAGTTCAAATAAATGAAGGTTTTACTATATACTCCACTCCGTGTTTTTAAGCAAGATATTTGGGCGTACTTGGCATGTTAGCATTTGGTTTCTCGGGGCACCTTTGATAAGACGAACTCCTGACAGGACTAACAAATTATGGTGGTCCCTTCGAGTTTGTATTACAGGGAATCTATTGTACTTCGATATTCTGAATAATTTAATTTTGAATTGAGAAAATTTGAATACTGTGAAATTCATTTGAATACTCAAAGCATTCAAATATTTGCACAGCCCTTTGCCTCAAAATACAGAAACTTTCATTGCAAGCACTCAAGCAACTGCTTGGAGAATAGTTTTGAATACTTATGCAATGTAACTGCACAATGACAAGCTAGTTTGATCTCTACACACAGTAAAACCTCATTAATTCAAACTCAGTTATTCCAAAATCTCGCCTGACTCGAAGTATTTTCACAGTCCGGTACTTTGCAATGTAAGTTTGAGAAGATAAGCAAAAAATCTTGGGTGCCGTGTACCAATTTCGGATCCCGATTTTGCTGCAGAACCACGGAAACGACTACCCCTAAGAGCCACTAGGCAATTTACTGTAGTGATACTACTGAGTGGCAGCTGAAGCCCTCCAGCCTCACTACTTCCAGTACAAAAAATAAAATTATCCAAAAAAAAAAAAAAAACGATTTCGTGATCAGCTGAAAAGTGCACCTGCAGAAAACAGGATGTGCTTCACTGCACCATAGCAGTAATGCACGGGCAGCTTATTGCATGCTAGTTGCAACAACAGCGCCTCATGATTTACCCAATCTATCCAGGAATAAAAAGAAATTAATAAAGGACAGTCTGGCGGAATTCGCATTGTATGCGAACCCTTGAATGCCTGTTGCTCCAGCAATTGGCATACGTACTTGCACTGCTGGTGGCTGCAACAACTACTTCGAAAACTCGGTTCAAAAGTCTGAATGGTGATGTTTAGCAGCCACAACACATCGCGAATTTTGTCACACTGTTTGTTATTAAATTCTTTATATTACCAGAAAGAATGGGTGAAAGGTCACATCATGACGTGCTGATGCAGCGAGGCGCAGGCGACATGCTGCCCGCGTGTCACTACTGTGTTACAGTAAAGATATCTTGTTTTTCATAGACATGCATTTTAGTTGACTTTTTTTTTTTTTTTTGCAGTGGCACCAGCAAGGCCTGGCATTTCCATTTGTTTGCGGTAAACTTGTGACCAGGTATTGCTAAAAAACATAGCCTTTGGAGCTGCAAACAAGCTGGCACAGCAAACGACCATCCCTAATTAGTTTGAATAATTTCAAGTTCTTTGCATCGCACTTTTTGTATGTTTCGTTAATTAAAAGATTTCTCACGGTTCCAGTGACTTCTAATTAACGAGGTTTCACTGTTTATGATTCTATACTATAGAATCATAAACAATACTATACTTCACTGTCTCTTGACACCTTTTTTTTTTTACCTGTTTCATGTAACGCATGGTGCACAAAGCACCACATTTCCACCACACATAAATATCAGCAGTGCATTAGAAGAAAGAAGCTAGCATTGCATAGTACAATGGAATCCCGGTTTTACGTCCCCCGGTTTCACGGCGACCCGCATTCTACGAAGGATTTGTCCCGTTCTGACGAAATCCCCATAGACGCAATACATTAAAAACCTCAATTATCCGACGTCATTTTATGCCAGACCCGCGTTTCATGACGATCCACGCGAAGCGAGGGGACGAAATGGCGAACAAAAGGAAAGTGCTGTGGATGTGTTTTGCCGCACCAGCAGGAGCAACCTTTCGCATGCCGAGCGCTCACCTGCACCTGCAATTCACCTGCAATGTGAAAGCCGCGTAAAAAGGCACGGTTGCCGTATTCCCCATTCTTTTTACCCTTTTTGAACGACCATTTCTCTTTTGCTTTCGTCGCGCAACGGCGTCCGAAGGATTTTGTCTAGGGAAGGCTAATCTGTGTAGCATCTTAGTTGAGGGGGGGTGGGGGCATAATTACGATGTAATGTAATGTAAGCTAATTTAATGCTTCATTATTAGGACTTACACGAAAGCGCATCTCAAAACGATGCCTCGTACCTTCAGCAGTGCAGCTGTCGTCTGCTATCAACAATAACCCTTGATAAATGAATGCATCGCTCCCGTTACGGCAGCTTCTACGACGATGAGCATAATTCTCTGAATGAACTCGCACTCCTGCATCCACAACCCGCCGACGCAGCTCCATGACCGTCTTCTCGAGCACGTCACCTCCGCGTACAATGCGGCGTACCCGCTAACGAAGATGCACGCGCTTTCTCGAACACAGAATCATTGGACACTCAACACACTCCGAGAGGCAGCGGGCACTAACGAAAGCGGAAGCGCCGTCCCGCCGGCGCCTATCGCGGCGCCTTTCTTCCTCCTCCATGCGCGACGCTAAGGCACACAGCATATACGAAAGGCGGCGCCGGGCGCCAAGAGGGTGATTAGCGCCGACCGCCAGCCACGTGGTATGTGCGACGTAATATGGCAGCTTCACCACGAAAGCCAATAGAAAAGCACTTCACAAGAGTCCAATGACATGCCTCTGAAATGCGAACTTTTCTTCTGCTCCTAGCCTTCGAAAGGGGTCAGTTTAATAGCTCAGGAGAGTCAACTAGGGCACCGTGGCCTACTTTTCACACTTTTTTCTAGGAGTGCACGTGTTGTCCACGATCGTATCGAACGGCTACGCAAGATGTCACAAAAGCGTACAGGTACAGCTTTATCACTCGGCGAAAAGCTGAAGATCATTGAAGAAGCGGAGAAGCGGCACGGAGCAACAAAAGCATGTATTGCCCGGGAGCTAAGATAGCGGAGTCTTCATTGAAGACTATTTTGGCTAACAAGGCTTCGATTCTTCACAACGCAATCAAGTTTGGACTAAAGCGGAAGAATGCAAAAGAAGGTGAACATGAAAATTTGGAGAAAGTGCTGGTGAAGCGCTTTAAGCGTGGAGCTCTGCGATGAATATTGATGGCGCCATTCTCAGAGAGAAAGCCATCCTCAGAGAGAAGGCCGACCTTGAGGCGTTGTGCCTAGGCATCAACGAATTCAAGGTATCAAACGGGCTGGATCACTTCAAAAAGTGCAATAATATCGTCTTCCGCCGCTCCTGTGGAGAAAGCTCCTCTGTGGACATTTCCACAGTGCAGGAGTGGAAAGGGTCACTGCCGGCCTTGATTGCAGAATAGAAAGAAGCCTTGCAACGTTTTTAACACGGATGAAAGTGGCATATTTTACCACCTGCAGCCCGAGCAGACACTTACTTTAAAGGGTGACAGTTGTCATGGAGGGAAGCGTAGTGAAAACCACTTGACGGCCTTGTTCTGTGCCAACGAGGACGGTATGAAAAGCTGCCGGTGCTCGTAATAGAGAAATTTGGCAAGCCACGGTGCTTCAAAAATTTGCGAACGCTGCCTTGCAGGTATGACTTCAGCAAAAAGGCGTGGATGACGTCCGCTATATTCACCAAGCTACAGCAGTTGGACAACAAAATTGGTGCGAAGGCAAGAAAAATTCTTCTCTTTATGGAAAACACGCCATGCCGCCCACCTGACACGACCTGCCTGCGGAACATTAAGGTTGTGTTTCTCCCGCCAAAACTGCACAAGAAGTCTGCAGCCGCTGGATGCCGAAATCCTCAAGTGCGTGAAGCGGCTTGTGCAGCGTCGGCTAGCGGCAATGGAGCGCAGCGAGGAGGAAAAGAAGATTTCCTTGCTTGACGCTATGCACATGATCGCCAGTAAGCGGAGCCCAGTGTCGCAAACCACAATTGCGAACTCATTCAAGCATTGTGGCTTCGTGCAAGAGGCTGCCTCCACTGCTGGCGACTCCACATCCTTGATGTACGAAGATTCAAGCGCCATCGACGCCAACGATTTCGAACATTTGAACCAGGCTACAACGTTCGCTGAATTCGTAGAAGCTGACGACAACGCTGCCACTTGCGGTGAACTGTCGCTGGACGAAGCAGCCGTAGAAGAACTTCTCGATGGCGACGCTACTGCGACGTCGGACGAGAACGACGCTGCTGCCGCAGATTCAGCCATCCCTACGCTGTTTGCTGATATGCTACGGCACATAGATGGCATCAGGAGCTACGCATGTACACACGACACCATGGAGGACGTTCTTTTGGTCATTTCCAAGCTTGAGGGGAAGCTTTTGCGGATGGGCTCAAAGAAAGTGCCAAGGAAGCTTACGGATTTTTAAAGTGTGTGCCATGTTTCGCTACGGCTGTCGGAAATTGCGCGAGCAGATTGCGGCGCACTCAAGGTTCGTTTCAATGAATCATAGCTAGTACCTGCCCGGCAGTGTTCTTTTTGCTTTGTTTTAGAGCCCTGTAGAGTTTGTTGGTAGTTTGCGTTAAAGTTTCTTGCTAACCCGCGTGCTGAACGTTTTTTTGTGGGCGTAAATTTACATGTTTAGATTTTACCAGGCCCACATTTTACGATGATTTTGCGCAGTCCCGAGAAAGTCGTAAAATCGGGATTCCACCGTACTTATGTATGCTTTATTTGGTCAAACGAGTCTTTCAATAAAGAATCTACTGAGGACACTGAATAATGGTCACCAGCTTACCTCTGGATTGTGTGGGCGTGGACGACAACGATCTGGTACGATCGAAGTGAATGGGGCTCTGGTAGGAACCACCGCTCACCAGAGCTCTCTGAAGGCGTGGATGAGTGATGGCTAGCTCTGTGAAGACAATAGGCATAGAGCAATGTAACAAACACTGCTTGTGGCTGGTTCGAACAGTACCTAATCAAAATTTGATTGACAATATCCTAATCACCAACACTAAATTTGATGGCCTGCTAAAGCTTTTCAAAAGAAAAAAAAAAGCTCTGTTACCCCCTGAGGTATCAATCTGGGAATCATCATTGTTGATTTCACAGTTATAGCATCTTTAAAAGTTCTCCAGGCCTGGAATAAGAGAAACATGTGCACTATTCTGACATACTGCCATAACTGGAGAACCAGTGAAGATAACTTCATAAAATTTTGTAGTATTTCTAATGCTTTTGCTATTAGTCTATACTGAAAATTTCGTTGAGATACCTCAATAAACAGGAAAGTTGGTACCTGATGGTAGCCTTCCCCCTTAACCACACAACCATAATATCGTATAAACATGTCGTGCATGTATGGCTGCTTTCTTTTATCTACCTACCACTTTAATTTACACCAATTTACGCCCTATTGAAATGTCATCCCACATGACAAGAGCAAAATAAGAAAGCATTAGCATCTGCTTCAAAATAATGCTAGGTGTTCACCACATTTATGACCAAGGATTGGCATCCAGCCAAACAAATTAGCAGCACAATGAATAAGACACAGGCATTGCTTAACTCGATAATAAAAACATATATAAACAGACCATACGTAGTATCAAAGAAAAACTCACAAACAGTGGCTATGCTGGAAACCGAGTATGAAAGCTAGTACAAAGCTTCACCTGAAGTCCCTCATTAAAATGGCAAAATGTAATTTGCCCCCCCCCCCCCCCCCCCCCATCACATATTGCATACTCTCAGTTCTCTGAACCTGAAGGGACCAGAAAAATATATTATGCTTAAGCAGCATTTCCATATTCAGAGATTTCCATCTAGTGAGTAGTGCAGTATAAAAAAATAATGACAAAATTTCAAAGCTGGAGCAGCACACCTACCGTGATCATCATCGTCCTCATCTTCTCGGCCGAAGAAGGACTCCTTCATGCTCTGCACTGCGTCTGGACTCAGGCCAAGTGCTTCTGCTAGCTGCTGAGTCACTGGCCTGTAGCTTGCAGCATCAGCCCCAGGTGCTGCATCCAGATTGTTGAAAAGCAATGGTCATTTCAAGGGCATTAAAAATCACTACTTTCCAAAATGTTAAGAACTTGCTGTGAAGGGTGAATTATAAAAAGATCTCTGTGCTGTATTGTATTATCAGCAAGTTTACTCTGAACGACAAGATTAGTATGTAGCAAATGGCAAACTTCACATGGGATACAACTTCTGTCAGCTGTATGCCAAGCAACAAGCGTCGTGACCACAACAAGCCATAAGGGTGACAGTTCCCTTAACTTGTAAGTAGAGCTGTGCTAATACACCAAAAGTTTGGGTGCATAGCAAGTTCAAATATTTCAAAAATACTTTGAAGTATAATTACAGAAAAAAATTGCACAATACATGTAAGCATACTAGTATGATATAGAAACATGAAAGTCTTTCTTTTGGCAAGGTAGGTGAAGCGCTAGGAAGATCATGTTTCGGAGTTTTATCAAGAATGAGGCAGAGCAGGTAAAATTGCATTTATATTTACATAAGGGACAGTGTGACATGATTGTAACATTACATTTGCTTTTCAGCTAAATCTATAGCATATAAAAAAAAGAAAGCTGTTCCCGCCCTCCCTCTAAAATTTGTCTCCTCGGGAGTGATGGTCGTTGAAGGAAGAGCCAATGTTCCATCCAATCAGTAGTGGAACTCCAGACGTAGCGCCCATTTGTTCTTGCAGGGTTAATAGCACCTGAGTGGCGCAAAATTCAAGGGTTTTCAAGGAGTTTCAAGGATCTGACGGATACTTTTCAAGGACCTAAAACAGCACCTGAAACCTCAAAAAATAACAACACCACTTTTTACAGCATAAAATTTTGTTTTTTATCGTACATTTCAACAATCATTTTCTATCTAACAAAGGTTTTACATTATTTATCAGCTCCACCTTTTCTGTTTATCACAGGTTTCAAAAACCATTTTTATGGTTTGCTTGATAAATTAGCACATATTACACCACCAATTAAGAAGCATCAAATCATGAAAGTCTCAAGTACAACAGACAAAATAGAACTGGCAGCGCTTTTGAAGTTGATTAATAGGTGTAAGGTATGCGATGTAAGAAGGTATAACATGGAGAGAATTGAACACGCTCTGAAAAACGGAGGAAGCGTCAAAGCAGTGAAGAGGAAACCTCGGATAGGCAAAAAAAATCGGATGTATGCACTAAGGGACAAAGAAGGCAAAATAACTACCAGTATGGATAGGATAGTTAAAATAGCGGAAAAGTTTTACAGAGATCTTTACAGTAGCCGGGACAACCATGACCTTAATACTATAAGAACTAGCGGTAACCCAGATGACACCCCACCAGTAATGATAGAAGAAGTTAGAGAAGCTTTGGAGAGCATGCAAAGAGGCAAAGCTGCTGGTGAGGATCAGGTAACATCAGATCTGCTGAAAGATGGAGGACAGATTGTGTCAGAAAAACTAGCCACCCTGTTTATGAGGTGTCTCCTGCCGGGAAGAGTACCAAAGTCTTGGAAGAACGCTAACATAATCTTAATACATAAGAAAGGAGATGACAAGGACTTGAAGAATTACAGGCCGATCAGCTTGCTCTCTGTAGTATACAAGCTATTTACAAAGGTAATTGCTAACAGAGTAAAGAAATCGTTAGAATTCAATCAACCAAAGGAACAAGTAGGATTTCGAACAAGCTACTCAACAATCGGCCACATTCATACTATCAATCACGTAATAGAGAAATGCTCAAAATATAGCCAACCACTATACATAGCCTTCATCGATTACGAGAAGGCATTTGATTCAGTAGAAATATCAGCAGTCATGCAGACACTGCGGAATCAGGGCGTAGCTGAAGTATATATAAACATTCTGGAAGAAATCTACAGGAGATCAACTGCTACCACAGTGCTTCATAAAGAAAGCAACAGAATACCAATCAAGAAGGGTGTAAGGCAGGGGGACACAATCTCCCCAATGCTATTTACCGCGTGCTTACAGAAGGTTTTCAGAAGCCTAAAATGGGAACAGTTAGGGATAAGAGTTAATGGAGAGTACCTTAGTAACTAAACCTGCGCTTCGCCGATGACATTGCATTGCTGAGTAACTCGGGGAACGCATTGCAACTCATGGTTAAGGAGTTAGACAAGGAGAGCAGAAAGGTGGGTCTTAAAATTAATCTGCAGAAAACCAAAGTAATGTACAACAACCTCGGAAGAGAGCAGCGCTTTGAGATAGGTAATAGTGCACTTCAAGTTGTAAAAGACTATGTCTACTTAGGGCAGGTAATAACCGCAGAGCCGAACCATGAGATTGAAGTAACTAGAAGAATAAGAATGGGGTGGAGCACATTTGGCAAGCACTTTCAAATTATGACAGGTAGATTGCCACTGCCCCTCAAGAGGAAGGTATATAACAGCAGTATCTTGCCGGTACTTAGCTACGGAGCAGAAACCTGGAGACTTACAAAGAGGGTTCAGCTTAAATTGAGGACGACGCAGCGAGCAATGGAAAGAAAAAATGGTAGGTGTAACCTTAAGAGATAAAAAGAGAGCAGAGTGGATTAGGGAACAAGTGGGGATATCATAGTTGAAATCAAGAAGAGGAAATGGACATGGGGCGGGCATGTAGCGCGCAGACAGGATAACCGCTGGTCATTAAAGGTAACTTAACTGGATTCCCAGAAAAGGCAAGCGGGTTAGGGGGAGACAGAAGGTTAGGTGGGCAGATGAGATTAAGAAGTTTGCGGGTATAAATGGCAGCAGGACCCAATTAACTGGCGGGACATGGGAGAGGCCTTTGTCCTGCAGTGGACGTAGGCTGATGATGATGACACCACCAATTTAAGACATATTGCACACAAAGACACACACATATAAACAAAAGGCCATTTTAAGGCAGTGGACTAGAGATTAAGTGGAATAGAGATTAAATCTGTTTGCGCATGGTTGCGACAATGGGTCAAAAAATATTTTTTCTTATCTAGATTTGTTTGTTATGTCCCATAACAAGTGAACCTAAGCTCACTAACCCTTAAACCGCTATCAATGAGTATAACCGTCATGAGATTTTTTTTTTTTAACACAACCAATGACAACTGTATTCGTCATACTCGTGCTTCCTGATGCTAGATGGCCACACTTGCCCACATTGAGACATTTGTGTCTCGGCTTTCATTTTATTGCCACTTTTCATCGTATTGCTACGCGGTGAAGCCCTATGCTCAATCAAAAACATCATTGAACTGAAAGAATGGTAGAAAAAAAAAACTAAAAACCAAGTCGGTGAAAAAAAATTTCAGTAATTTTGGAATGCTTTTCTTCTTTTCCTTTGGTCACAAAAGAATTAAAATGAGATGGTTTTAGATTGGTTTGTATGGAAACCAATCTCATTATATTCATTATAATAAAGATTAACTGTAGAGCAGTGAGCCTCTCATTTCCTTCACTTTTTTCACTTAGGTAGAGTCACTTACATAGTGCGTCATCACTGCCAGGCCTGTCTGCTGTTCCAGCAGATGACGGCTCCATGTCCTCCATATCATCATCATCAGAACGATATCCCGCTGCAGTGTCAGATTCTCGGCAGGCCATGAAAGTAGCAGAGGATCCAGGCGCCGATGGAGGTTTCTGAAGAGTACAGAAATAAATTGACTGTGGAAGTGAAATAACTTCACCGCAAGAGGTTGAGCGACCCCAGGTACTGGAAAAACCGCGTATTCAAAAAAGAAGAAAAAAAAAGCGAGAAGTGCTCAAAGTCAAGAGGTGTGCATGATGTAATTTCTATCTCCATGTAATCCCTCCCTGCTCAGCTTCCAGAGCTTTCATCAGGACGAGAGAAGAGAGAATGCGATTGCAGCGTGTGAGAAATCGCAGCTCCGCTGGTATTGAAAGGATCCTAAAAATTTTTACAGCAGTCAATTTGTTTATTTGATTGACATGTGGGGTTTAATGTCCCAAAACCACCATATGATTATGAGAGACATCGTAGTGGAGGGCTTCGGAAATATCGACCACCTGGGGTTCTTTAACGTGCACACAATTCTGAGTACACGGGCCTACAATATTTCCGCCTCCATTGGAAATGCAGCCACCACAGCCGGATTCGACCCCGCAACCTGCGGGTCCGCAGCCGAGTACCTTAGCCACTAGACCACTGCGGCGGGGCCCAGTAGTCAATTCGTGAGGCAATAAGTTCCTTTACTGAATCCATTCCATGGCTACTTGGAAAGGTGTAGCAGGGCTCTTGAGGGTGGGAAGAGGGTCTTAAAAAAACAAAAAATTGTGCCGACTTTCCGAAATCACAATTTGAGTTACCGCAATACAACAAAGCTCATTGTAGCGAACACGTCAAACAAAATATTGGTTATAATTAAGTTATTGAAAAATAGTCTTTCAATAGATAGTGTTAGCAATAACCAATATTATACATTTTTGAACATGACAAACTTATTATTTTTATTTTGTCAATTGTGCATTTATTATAATGAGGTTAAAGTGTATTTACCTAAAGCCCAACTTGCGCTCTTCAAAAATATGTTATGACACATTGCGCTTTTTTTACAGACTTTGTTGATTAAAACACAAACGTTTTTAAAACATGAAATGCAATTTTCTTTGTTTTATTATTTTTGTGAAGTGAATCTGCCTCACGGAAGTTTTGCCAAAGTTTCGGTGCACATGTCTAATGAAACTTGGTATCTTAGTTTTTTGTAGCACTTGAGCAACAAGCTAAGGCTTTTTTTTTTTGTCAACCTTGATGGCATTGTAATTGTATGATACACACCAGCTAATTACTGAAAGGTTTACTGGAAGGTCATTTTTACCTTCCAAGTTTAAAAATTGTTTGATTAGAGAAATAACTCTTTTGAAGCAAAAAGAAATTGTCCTTTCTTTCATTTCTTTTTTTTCAAAAAAAATTTTAAAACCTTTGCAGATTTGAAATCTCCATTTAACGAGACAAATGTGCACTAATTTTTATTGTTATAGAATAATAAATAAATTAATTTTTTTTGTTAAACCCTACCACCCCCTCAATTTCAACCCTTTATTGTTTTTTAGTGTGCATGTAAATCTAAGCACATGGATGTTCTTTTCATTTCGACCTTGCTAAAATATGACCACCATGGCTTGGAGTCGAACGCGCACCCTTGAGTTAAGCACATCCCCAAAGAAATAAACAAACATGCTTGAGTGACAGCGAGATGAAAAAAAAGACAGCATTGTTAAATTTCATCTTTGTAGAAAATATTCTTCATCACTTAATGAGTAATTCAAGGGGCCTTAAAACACTTCTTTAATACATTTAAAAAATGTTGCTGATCTGTAAATGAAGCTCACTTGAATATGTCAGCCAAATAGTATTGCACTGTGTGCAGCATGCAATTTCTTAATTCGCATCAAAGTTGGGCAAAGATTGTTTTCTTTCTGCAGCACATGCTTTGGGAGTGTGCTGAAAGAGTTAACGTCACTGCCCCCGCTCCCTTAGCGACGCATGTTAGGTAGGGACGAAATCCGAGGCCAACTGCTGCTGCCACCACCGCGCGAGAGCAGGGGCCGGCCTCCGCCGCGGCTGAGGTCACTGTTGCCGATCGGCGGCGTCAGCTGCGCTGCCACTGGGAGGCGGCACTTACAAGCGACGAGCTGGCCGACCAGCTTTGGGACTGTCCGGCAAGCTGAAGATGCTCCCCTGGTGCAAGGACTTCGAGCGGTCACCTGAGGCACTGCTATCATAATCATCGGAGAGTGGGAAGGGACAGGGGTTAATCCCCTCTTCCCCCACCTCACCCAGTAAAACTACTGGACTTCAAATAAAGTCTACTCATTGCAAAATGGGGACATGCCTAAGTCTCCATACCTTTCTCTTAATGTCAACAAGGACATCAGCTGCCTTTTCTATTTTAAGAATACATAAGGTATAATAATATATCTGGAACAATCTAAAGAATTGGAGAGGAAGGTTGAGCTATTTGGTGCATATTGCAAACTAGAACATTGCAGTTATGTACTGCCTTAATTAGTTATCTCCCATACCTAATGGGACAGGGCAACAGAAGTTGTACTGTCTCTGGGTTTCAATAAAGTGTTAACAGTCAGTGTCCATGTGTCCTAAGTGTTCGTTTCTGCCATGACATTGTGCGCTTAAAATTTATTTATACAGTCCAACCAACTTATAACAAACCCAGATGTAACGATCTATTGGTTATAACGACCATATTTCAGTGCACTTGCCATTTTCCTATGGTACCCTAGAAAAGTGGGTCCACATATAGTGCACATTTTTCAAAGCCTCCTACTTTCACAACAAACACTTCCAACACGGTTGCAGTAAAAATATGACACATACGAAACGAAAAAAATGTTAAAACAAGCATTCTAAAGCATGTGATATATGCGCACTCGCGTGTGCCCTGCTACAGTTTACTTGCTACACGAAGATATCGTAGAACGCGGCAAGCACCGCACACAATTTTCAGACGTTGCAAGCAAGGTCACTTTCAAGTCGTTTCTTCGCCGGTAAAATGAAAGTATGGAAAAAAAAGAAATAGGAGACAGTATGGGGACTCAAGAAAGCTTTCACACGGCAAACTTTTCTGATGCCGCTCGGGGCATCTATCCCCACCAACGATTAACCAACAATGCCTTTGAACGCAAGAAGCCATAAACGCGAGAAGCGGTCACTTTTGCCACATTGAAGTTCACTGCGACGCTCAACTCTATGACACCACAATGTGCCACAAAACGTTTTCCACCTTTCAGTAACAGCAGAGACTTGAGGATTAGTGATAGCGACTTCCACACAGTTTCGGCAATGCCATAATGCATCATAAGCATCAAAAAAGAGCGTTGGTAAGGCTGCCCGTGGTGAAGAACTTGCCATTTTCACTCATTGCCAGCAACCGTATGACAGTCATCTGCAGATAGCTGCTCGGCGGAGCGATGGCAGTAGTGCACAAGTTCACCGTCACTGCGTCGTGCGAGGCCACTTGCACAAGTTGCCCACAAAATTCTTCGTTGTGTTGAAGAACGAGTGATCCGCGGCTTAGTAAAAGTGAGCGGCAGTTCTTTGGGAACTAGCTCAGCGGTAAGCCAACTGACCCGCCGCCGCTACCTGCTCGCGGCTCTCCTACTGATCCATCTCGGCAACCGACCCGCCGCCGCTACCCGCTCACGACTCTGAGTTTGAGAACACCTACTGATCCGACTCGGTGGCTCATCTGAGCCGACGATTCAACGGTTTAGTGAGAGCCAATGAGCAAACTGAACGACAGTTCTCTCTAGCTCACTCAGAACTGAGGATCTCTAGGCTTTCGTTCTCGCACTGACCTATCAGATCCGTACCGTACTGACCCGCACCGCTTCGTTTCATTCGCTTTCTGTTAGCTGGCTCGCCTGTTTCATGGTGCTCACTTGCTGTGTGCTTGTACGCCGCGATGCTTTCCAGCATGCGCTGTTCGTGCATCGTGTTTTGTTGCTCAGATACATGGAGGAAGGAAACAACTCCGTGCTCAGACACTTGTAAAACAAGTTACGGAAAATGGTGCCGACGCCCTGAAGAACGACAGGTGAGCGTGCCCTTTGAGCCATTGTGTCAGTTTTAATTTGGGTCCATATCAGAAAAAGTACTAGTACTTTTTTTCCAGTGTGGACACAGTTATTATTTTCTAAGGTGAGAGAGATGAAAAGCGTACAATTCCTACAATTCCCACGTTTACGACATTGCACAAACAAGCAGTGTGCAACGTAACTATATACAAATTTACAACTGCCATGGAGCTGCATGTTTGAATCCATTCTTTGCATTTGTGTCGGGCTAATCACTCATCATCGCTTATAATTGCGTTTCTGAGGCTCTAGGTTGATGTGAGAAAAGTTGTATTGCTCTATGACAAAGAAACACGTTCGTTTTAGCACGATTCGCCGGCATTTTTCATCTCATTAAATGTTGTCACTTTTCTTCAGGATGGAAGCATTTTAATTAGGCTATTCCGGAAGGCCGCAGCTTATCGGTGCGCACAGAGGACAGCTGAAGAATTGAAGAATCAGTACTTCTCAAGGACAAATGACATACATCCTTCGATATTATGTGTTCATTTGGTCAGTGTTTTCATATCACTAGTTATATAAAAAATCAATGTAGTGCAGCCAATATTAGTTGAGTTTATCTGGAGTTAATTTTGACATATTTAAATCTTTACATTATTATTCTATTTTTAGATATTTCGTCTACTTTTATTGTTTTCGCTACGCCGTGAATGTTTACGTTTGTTGTCATAATAACGACAAACAAGCCGAATCTTGTGCCATATCGTGCGCACATGTCTGGAGATCTTGTGCACTTTTCTCAGTATAAAAATGTTTTTTTATATGTGTCCAAGTGTTCTATTTTTTATACCACTGTTATGTAAGCCCCAAACCATGCTGGAAACTTTCGTCTTCAGTGAGATTGAACATGTGTATGCTCTTTAGAAGAGTAGAGCTTTGGGCCAGTTGGTGATGCATACAGTTGAAGAAATGAAGCGCAAAGAATGAGACAACAAAAGAACAGGTGCAGCAATGCCACCGACGAAGAGCATAAGAATGTGAATAGCTTCGAAGCCTTCATTCTGCAGCAGTTGGGCGGCACCTGCCATCGCCAAGATCACCGACTTTTTCAAAAAATAAATGTGGGCTCATTCCGAGAAATTTCGTATTTTGTGTCTTTTCTCAATCATCATAGAAGCATGCATACCTAGCGAAAAGTAGGTAGGTCACTCTTGTTGTTTTTGCAATTTTTAGTGCGAATTTTCTGTTTTCACTGTAGTAATGCTTACAAAATTACGAACGATTTTCCAAGGTCTCTTCAAATTCGCTGTATCGAGATTTCAGTGGCCATGCATATTGCAATTATAACAAAAATGTCCAGTCTGCACTTTAGCTCACTTTAGCTCCCCTAGCTTCAACGCTTGTACAGCAGGAAAAGAGGCAGCACCGAAGAGCATTAAGAGTCTCTCGGTTCGTTTGTTTGTGGTTTGACGCCGTAAGACTTATTCCCCACGCAGTTTAGGAAAACGAAACCATATCAACTCACGCCAAATTACTGTTTCGTAAATGGGGAGTTTGTGAGGTCATTGCCGATTCATACCTGCCAAGTTCAAAGATTCTGAATCTGAGGGATTTCCGCAACAGGAAGGGAGGTAGTGTCGCGCTGACTTATTCGCCTCCTTTTCTTTTTTGCACAAAAAAAAAAACATGTGAACAAAAAAAAAACAGGGTGGGGAGGTGGTCGGTAAACATCGCGTTTTGCGGTCTCATACTAGCTTGGAGTGGCTGAACACTTAAGAGTAAGGTTTCCCATTTACAGCAAAAGGTGCGAGTCTCAAAGGGGGGTGAACATACTTGTATCTATCAATATTTCTCATAAAAACAACTAGCAAAATCAATTTCTGTCAAAAGAACTCGTGTACGTCTTCTTGGGACACACACAAACGGACGGGACAGTCCAGCCGGCTGCTGGGAAAGCGTGGGTAGAAGCTTAGCTTAAGGCGAACTGAAAACATTAAGCCAAAGTACCCAGATTGACAGGTGCCGTTACTAGATTCTTTTGACAGAATTGCTTTTAGCTTTTTTTACATCTTTATCACCTCTACTGCTGCGTTAGCCCTGTCCGCTCGACTAGTAAACGCGTCGCCAAAACTGCGGTAATTCCATTCTTGCATGCGGGTTGAAAACGGTAATTCCGTTTTCAACACGCATGTGCTGGCTGCACACATGCTTTTAAAACCATGCCGTGCTTTGCTATCCGTGGTCGCATCTACCGCGATTTTGTCCGCATCATTTGTGGAAACAACGCCGCTTTAATTGGTCGAGTGTTGAACAGGTGTGCACTTTCAGAGTTCTGTCAGTTACGTCGTCGCCACACATGATCGTGTAAAGAGCGACCGCAATTTCGTGCACAGTGATTGTGGCAAACGATAACCACTGTTTTGACAGTGCGTGCGCTGGCCATGCGCGTCCTTCCGAAGCATTAAGCACGCTGCTTTAGCCTTTGTTCACTGTTCCGGCACTAAAATTCATACAATCCGCTGCAATGAGGAAAATAGCTCGGAACATTGAATTTTCGCCTAATGGACATTTAGATAAACGCCTCCTAAATTCGTTTACAATAAGATGTGATGGGTTTGCAAAAAACCTGGATTAGATTGGGCTGCATTTTCAGTTTTGTGCAATGTGGCCAGATAAGCACAGAAATATCAATTTCAGGGGACATTTTCCTGACAACCGTACAAACCTTTGTCGAAATCCGGGAGACTTGGGCAAGTATGCCGAACTACTATATAAGGTTTGTCAATTGATAGCGCTCAGGAAATTCACGAATTTTCAAGGATGGGAAGAAATTCCAGGACTTCAAGGCCCTTAAAAATGCATTTTTAAATTCAAGGGTTTTCAAGGACCTGTACGCACCCTGATATTAACTACCACATTATAAAAATTCACCTGTATACCTTCGCTGCTTCATAAGCCAAATGATGACCAAAAATTAAGGCAGGCATTTCATTCCCAACAGTAAAAGGCACAGAATGTGCACCAGCCAACTAGTAGCATTTCTAAGCGGAAGGAGATGAAAGAAAGATAGGCATGAAGAAAAACATTCAAAAGATCGACAAACCTGAGTGATTTTGTCTACAGCACCATCAGCAGGTTTTGTGGCAGCTGCTTGCTGTGGCAACTTTGCTGACGTAGCTGTCTGGGTAGCGGCCTCATCAACTTCGTTGTCAGATTCGTCCAAACCATATTTGGAAAAGTGCTTCACCTGAAAAAAGCGACAAGAGAGCACTACTGTTTATAGTGAGTGGACCATGTGGAAAGGATGCACTGAGTTCGCTAAGAGATGCAGGTGTAGGAAAAATTGACATGCAATGCTGTGGATGAGCAGGCTACCAGAATTATTATAAGAAAATTACTGAAGCACCTTTCAGGCTTAATGGCATAACACATTTCACAGACAAGACTGAAGTAGCCAACATTCCAACCAAAGATTGTAGTAGTACACAGTCACTGGACTTCACGACCACAACACAATGTTGACTCGCTCAGACGACTTCGTGGGCTGATGCAGTTCATTGTGACAGTACGCCACTATGTGCAACCAATAATGTACAAATCCGAAGCAGTGAAGAACTCTGCCCAAACCTCAGGAAAACAACAAACAGACTCAATTGAACCCCTTTATAAGAGACATGAAGCAGGATCTTTTATTCCTGTCTTTTCTATGAGGTGTCTCATATGAGCAGGGAACCACGTGTTTGTTTTCTTATCATCACGTATTTCAATGTAGGCACACTGGTCTCTCTTATACACATTTATATGTTACATCAGTTTCCTTATAAAGGTGTTTGACTGAATAAAGAACCCGAGAGGAAGCAGTAATGGCTCAAGCTATCCTGTCATGGCTCCACACTTTGACCCTGGGGCGTTTAGTTGGATACTAAGGCCACGGTGTGCATGGGTGGCAACAGCAGAGGGGTCTCAGCTCAATTGAGCAGTGTCTATGATTGCTCCAGAGTTGGAAAGATAGGCTCACCGATATGGAACGGGGCACACAAATTTAGAGCTGTAAGACTGGGTCTCGTATCCTCGCCAAAGGAAAGGAGGGAACGAGTCACCTTGTTTTGGATGGAAGGCGTGAGAGGTCGCAGAAAATGCCCCTCAAAACCTTATTCAACCCTGCCAATCAAAGACTGAATGAAGCCAAGGTGAGGCCATATGCCGATGCTCTGGATTTCGTGCTAGAAACAGGTGCCCATGAATTTCCCTTTTCTCATGTCAATCATAACGAGCTTGCTCAATTAGCACGTCTTATTGATGCGTTTAAGAACAGACATCATTTCAAAAATCTTAGAAAAGGCTCGTCTTGACCATTTGGTCAAAGTTCAAAGAATAAAAGAAAAGGCCAAGTAATTTTGATATTCTTAATAAAAGCGGTGTAGCACTGGCATGTGCTGGGACCATCTCAGCCATGACATATGGCAGGTAAATACAGTCTACGTTCATTATAACGAACGTAGACAGTATTTGCTGTTCATTATAATGATTCCTGCCTCCACCATGCTGCTGCCAAAGCAGCGGGTGGCTGAAAAAAAAAAAAAAAAAACTCAAGAATTCCCGACCAAACAGCACTAAAATGAAATAAAAAACTCGAATAAAACTCAAATATATCGAGTTATTGGCTATATCGTATAGTTCGAAAATCCCCTTAAATTTTCCACGCAGAAATACAGGACCGCTGCACTCACATATCCCAGTCCTGCACAGCGGAACGTCCGTTACATGAAATGCTGCGCAGCACCAGAGCCCAGAAAGCGCATTTGTCTAAACAAATACAGTCGCCGACCGATTTTTCGGATCTGGCGGGTACTGAAAAAAAAAACTTCGAAAAATCTAACAGTCCGAAAAATTCGTTTTTGTCAGAAATATGAACTTTATTGCATCAGGCAGGCTTAAAAAAGTCCACGATTTTTTCTGCCTAGCCTCATACTATGCTTGGAAGGAATTTGGTTCGCCCGTATTTGCGCCAAGGTCACATCGTCACCGTAATAGCTTGCCAAAAGTGCACCGCGGTAGCGATTTCCGCTGCCGACAGCTGCGGGCGATCATCGTCGTCATCATCTGAACCACTCTACGGCTGCGGCACAACCTGGCGAAGAATTTCTTCGTCTGTGTGCTCCGCACACGAAATTGTCATCGTGCACACGAGCGAAGTTTTAAATAGGGAGTTTCAGAATAACGTTTGCATGCTGCGGGCATTGCGGGTGTAGCAGACAGATTATGAGTTTTAAAATAGCGTTTGCTTTCCCTAGGGAAAAGTTTAGGAACTTTCACCCCGACCGCGAACTCAAATGCACGGAAGCTAGAAACAACGCTCTGCGGGCCTCGCGAGCCGCTATCGCCACACGCTATTTCGAATTTTCTGCGGGTCGGCCGCGAACGACGACTTGCGTTATGACCGATGCGCAGTGGCAGCAACAGCAACGCAAGGGCTCACCGTTCGCTATTCTAAAACTCCCTAATGTCATTGTGGCAGGCACATTCACTTCACGACTGCATAGCTCCGCCTCCTCCCTGTGTGGTGCGATGACGACAGTGCTGACCACTATGGCTGACTGAAGACGAAAAAATGGTCTCGTGCCACCATTTCTAAAGCAAACACGGCCTCCAAAACTTGAAATATGACGTTTGCTTTCTAATTTTGGGAGCAGGAAAGCCATTTTAAAATTAAGCCCCTAAGCTTAATCAAGGCGGCGTAAAATCCAACATGGCGGAGTTCATACAGGTTCGTGGCACAGCTCAAAACAAGCAATTTAGTCTGAAAAATCCAACTTTCGAGGGCGAACTAGTCCGAAAAATTGGTAAAAAAATGCATTTACCCTAAGCTATGGGAACCCTGACGGCGCACTTTTGAAGTCCGAAATATCCCAGAAGTCCGAATTTTTGGAGCCTGAAAAATCTGTCGGCGACTGTACTGATGAATTTTCTGTCGCATTCTACGACGCACCGATCCCTTTTTGCACCCAGGAGACAAAAACGCGGCACTGATCTGGTTCATTGCGTGGCGCATCTAATTTCACTGGTATGTTTGATGTGCAGTCTGCCAGTCTTAACACTCCGCGTGGCCATAGGTCTTTAAAAAGACCTATTGCTGAGGACACCAAAATGTGAATGCGAAGGGACTCGGAGTTCTCGTTCGCATTTCCTTCCTTGTTTGTTAACACACAATAGCATGCGAGTCTGAAAAGCATGGCCTTTCATCAGATGTGCAACCTTGCGACATATTTTAGTGTTTTCGGTTTTAAAACACATGTCTTGGAGGCTACGCTTTTTCTAGCCTTTTCCATTGAAGCAGCTGAAAGTAGCAGCTGCCAGCTACAAAGCCACAGGTGACATCGATATCGCCATAATGTCGATGGTGAGAACTCGGCTACCCGGTCTTTTGCGCCTTGTGGACTTATGTACTTCTTGCCTCATTCCTGGTAAATCCTGATTCGGGAGTTGAACTGAATATTGACCCGCACTTAGCGATAAAAATTACGATTGGCGCTTGGGGCGACGTCCAATAATGCACCGCCGTAAACTTTTCTTGCGGGCTAGGTGACGACTTTTGGAGCGCCATGACCGCTCACAACTGCGTACGGTGGCTCAGTGAATTACCCGAATTATTAGTGCTTCTGGGCACCATCTCGGACAGCGAGCAACTGCATCGGTGCATATAACGACGTAGCTGTTTCTGACTGCATCGATAGTAAGATCATAGTGAGATCGTTGCTGAGATCAATACCGGTGCCGCAGAAGTGTACCCACGCCATCATGAATATGCCAACGCCTTTACTGCAGCCGCCAACCAACCTTCTGCCGCACTACAAAGCTTGCATCGGTGTTCTACGTCAATCAACGCTGTTGTGGCTGAAAGAGCTGAATGCGATTATTTGAAAAGCTTCAATGATATTGAGGATGACTGGAACATGATGGCACACAAAAGGCAAGACAAGTTAGTGGACTATTCTCATGCGAAATAAAGTGCAGTAACTTGTAGTTCACATCTTGTTCTTCATTATGCCGTGAGTGAATCATTATGTTAGCACTTGTAAAGATTTCTGAGGACTGAAATGCTTTAATTTAGGCCTTGAATAAGCGTATTTTGTATTTTGAATTAATGAAATATCAAACTATGCTGCGGTCCCCTTCGAGTTAGATACATCTCGGATCAACTGTATCATTCATTTGACGTACTTTTGCAATGAATTAGACATCGATATTTACAGAACAGATAGTTTGTTAAAGATGCTACTCAAACGTATGGTTTTCAAAAAATCAACCTTTTCTCGGAAAACACATAACAAAGGGGCACCTGTTCTAGTTGCAAAGCATAGAATGTACCCACCTCGAAAACCCAAGAACCTGTCTCCGGCCTGTACTCCAGAAAACGACCCCCAATTTTGGCAGTGGTCCTCTCCAATTTTTCTTGATAACCAAGTGCCTTGAGCTTCTCCGGATCCTGTAAAAATAAATAAATAAATAATAATAATAATAATGTCACTCATGTGTAACCGAGGATGTGAAATCAATTAAAATTAAATATGGCAGCAACGTTCGGATACAACTTGAACATGTCTAGATGACCAAAGCACAACCTCCACAACCGAGGCAGTAGCCTAAAAAATGCGCTCTGCAATGTTCGTCGAAGGCAAAATTAATGGCTATCTGCTTCGCAGTGTGGATGCCAGTTGAAGCCCACTAATGTGCATCGGCCATCAAAAAGGAAATGCTGCATACTTATACCATTTCAACAGTGATTGTAGGTGGGCCAGTTGGCATATACTGAGCGTCAAAAACAGCACGCCAGGACAATAAAATGAAAAAAAGTACACGTACGTATCACTAACAACTGAGACAAGCAGTAACTAGGAAAACAGATGTGATGTCCCGTAACCAGCAAAGCAAATACCCACGTTACCAGATTTGTCACCTACACACTCCCACTCGTCTTTCGAGCAAGCAGATTTCTTTCTGTAAAAGGGCAACAAAGGGACAGCGGACAGCATTCTTGATGCCTTTTGTGAATCTTGAAGACTTATCAAAGTTTGCAGTCTCATACTATCCGCATCCTGTCCTATCACTTTGCACTGATTCAATGAACAACAAACAGCATGCACAACATACAGCATGCTAGGCAGTGTTGCTGGCACAATTTCAAATGACATGTGCCAAAGTTCATCGTACTGTCAAATCTCGTTATAGCAAACTTCAGATTAATAATTTTTTTTTTAGATTACAGACTTTTTTGAAAATCCCCCTCCATACGTCTGTTGGTTTAATGTAAAAAGTATTTCGCTACTACGAATTTCAGAATATTGAATGTCTCAAAACAATGTATTGAATGTTATCCCCCTTTACTTCCACAACACTTCAAAATAACGAATAGCAATTTTAAAGAGTGACTCGTGGCTGTAAAAATAATGCCCAGGCCCATAGCTGCCACTATCAATATCATCAAAACTCCTGCGTATTTCAATATTTCGCTATCAAGCTGCCCTATTTAATTTTGTGATAGCCCTATCGCTATCGACATAATCATCGCCTGATACTTGTTTTTCATATCAGGCTTCGCCCTGTTGCCTTCGTTTTCCTCGAGAAGCTCTACCTGCCCACTGGTTACATGATTGTTTCCTAGCCTTTTCGTTGATGGTGGAACGTTCACGATGAGCTCCGAAAGGAGCCTGAAGGGAATGCTACAACAGTGAAAATGTGACGCGAGTGACTTATGAGATGAAGTCCCCCGTGATTATCCGTGCATGCTTCTTTCGAACAATACACACCGTGCGACCACGAAGCATGCACATGACCTTAGTTGACGACCGATAAGATCTATACCATTTGTTGTGAGAAGAAAACGACAACTAGAGCAAAAACCACGTTGAAACAGCACGTGCTTAAGAGTTCATCTTTCAGCAGTCAAGCTGCCCACATCAGGATAGATTGCGCACTATTCCTCAAATAAACGTTCACTGGTTCTGCATTATTTCGCATGTGTTCTTGCGCTTATTGCAGCATAATGTGGTCGCAAACACAGTGCAGGTAGACGTCTTACATGTTTGCATTTACAATTTTCGTGCAACTTTTGAATACTTTTCCTACAACTCTTCAAGATAACGAATGGTCTTTAGTGGCCCCTTGAAATTTGTTGTATCTAGATTTCACTGCTTACAAGACTGCACCTATGTGTAAGCCCACAGGTGCTTGTGTCAATCAATGCAATTTCTACTTGCTTTGGTTGAAATAAAAAGTGATTTGATTACGCTTTCCCAGTTTCAGAGGAGTGCACTGCACCATTGCATGCATTATTTAACGCTTCGCTTTCATTCTCCCTTGTTTTGACATAAATGTGTCAGAGGAATCATGGTGAGAAGGAGCAGTGACACCAGCAGTATTGCCGGAACCTCGTCAAACAGCTGGCAGGTGACGTCAGGGCTGGCACCAGAAGGCAGGGCCCATCTGCACATGCGAACTGCGAGGAAAAGCTAGATGGGACGAGTCATTTCATTTAAAAGATTACAGGCTGAACCAGCAAGAATTGTGATATTTCGTAGCGATAAAAAGTTTTCTGCAAAACTTTCAGTAATAACTTGGGCTGGCACACAGAAGAATGCTTCGAGCTATTCACATGCTGCTTAAATATTGTTAAATGAGTCACGATAAAATGCTTACCAAATGTTACTAAATACAATGTTCATTATTCACAGAAAGCCTGTTTGCTTGTACTTTATCCTGCACGAAGCGACTTTGAAGTCACTTTCACTGCAGTACTCTAATGTTCTGCAGTACTCTAAAAGCATGTTAAGATTAAGAAGCCACAAGTTGTGAAGTGTCGCAAAACGTTCAGTCCTTTATTTACACGTGCGGTATACTTATGGGTACCAGTATGATTGCTGACATCTAAAAACATTACTGACAATTCTTCGTACTTCTCTACGACGCCTCTGCAGCCCCAAGAAACAATATATAAAAACATATACCAGCTTTCTTTTGTCACATTTAATTTTCCATGTTCTTGCTGTACTAAATATAAAGAAAGCATAAAAACACACTTACTGTGATTGATTCTCGAGTGACTTTGTTGATTGGCCACACTTTGTCGAGAGTAACCTGTGCTTTACGGTTCAGGCCTTCGCCCACAGGTGGCTTTTCGTCATCATCAGGGTACACTGTGATCTCCATGCGACGAAAGTGCACTGCAAACAAGAACATTTTTGGGCACAAGCTCAATCGCTGTTGCAACAAGTTTGGCTGCTATTCAACCTGAAGAAACTTGTCAACGAACATTAAAAAATCCATATGTTTTGTAGATGACAGCAAGCTGAGCCTATTAACAATTGAAGATTAATGAGAACAAATGATGCCAAGGAAAATATAGGGGATGTCATTAGTAGCAAATGTAATGTAAATGTGAAGAAAAGGTAACTTTCCACCGGCAGGAACCAAACCTGCGACCTTCGAATAACACGTCCGCTGCCCTATACCAAGTGAGCTACAGTGGCTGTTATCCCTCCATACACCTTATAAAGTACAAATGGGCATGTTAAACATGCATGTGTCAATCAGCACTGCCTGGTGCCATTACGGTCAGTGTGGCCTGTTGATGTCACATAGCACATGATATTAGTATGAGCTGGCCTTTGACCAATAATCCCTTGCACATGACCTGAAGCCATCAAGTCTGCCGAAACGAGGCCCTCGCTATGCCATGGAAAGTATCGGTTATGTTATTAGAACTGTAATGTAAATCTAAAGAAAGAAAAGAGGACAAAAGTAATCACAAAGCACTAGCAAGATCCCATGCAACGTAAAGCCAACAGGCAAGAAAAGAGTTCCAAAATCGCTGTAATGGCTACTGGAAGCGCAGACTGATGCTACCACGTTTGATTCATCCACCTGCCACCAAGGAGCTAACGCCTCTGCCATGTTTTTCCAATTAACTCTGTCCTATGCTTGCTGAATGCACCACAAGACATACAAAGTAGGCATGGACGAATAGCAAACTTGAGTTCGCAACGAACTCAAAGCAAATGGTGATTTGCTCAAATAATTTCAAGTGGAATAGTTCACATAGCATACATAGCACTCAGTACTCCGGTGCATACAGTGCATCGGAGTACTGAGTGCTCTACTTTCAACTCTCTGGTCAGCAAAATAAAATAGGCACCACTGAAAAGACGTGTCTGTCTTATACAAACTGGCTCTACAAATTGTTGTCCCTAGTCATGGCTTATGCAGCACATGACCCTGGTTGCCTTCTCGCAACTTTCTTGCTTGCTTTGCTTGCACAATCACTGCATTCATTCTGTCGGCCTTTCCTCAATAGCAGCCTGTCATAGTTTCCCGCATATGTGCATCGCCTGGACATCACAGGCTGTATATCTAAGACACCTTCACATAATTTTCGTACATGCAGACATAAGTTAGCCCTAAATACAATGCCATGGTAGCATTCGTGTGTTGCTACATTACCATTCAGATTTCCGAGGGCTGAAAACTATTTTCCTGTATTTTACAAGCTTTCCAAGAAACCGAAATATGTTGAGCACAGTCATTTTGTAATATCGGGTTTTAACTGTAGTAGAAGACTTGGATACCAGTTTAGAGCACAAGTTGTAAGCGGCAAAATACTGTAAACTTTGAAATTTGCTATACTTAGTGCATATAAGATCATAGAAGATGCTTTAAAGGCACAAGATGCTTTAAATGCATTTTAGGTCATTTTGAGGTACCGCTTTCTCAGACGCAAAAAGGGATATTCACATAACCCATATATCTTCTCTTCCAAATTCTCCGCTCTTTTAACTGAAGCAGATATATTAAAACCGGCTAATTTAAAATTTTTGTCAATTTTTTGCCAGTAGGACCTAACTTTTGAGTTAATTGGCATCCATGAAAATTTGTAACACAAAAACTGCAAAATGCATAACTTCTATTCTGCTTCAGTAACGATACGTATTTATGCAGAATATAAAAAAAAATGGCCACCATATCTACGCGCATTACTGCAGATGTCTTCAAAAGACAACAGTCTTCTGTCTTGAGGTGCTGTGTGAGATAAGGACATTATCTGGCAGTAATCTCATGTAGAATGCAGAGCCACTGGTAGGTGACAGCACCATTATCGTCTCAGCAAGGTGTAGGGAACACCTGTTTTTTCGTGCATAGTGTCATATTGTCAGTGCAGCATAAGTAACACTAGGGTCAGTAGAATTTCGCATCTTTGAATTTTGCTCTATAAAGCAACATGCCACCAAATGCTTACTTATTGATGTTGTGTCTCAGATATGTATGTGTAATATTTGTTTTTTGGTGAAGAATGTTTATAAGTACAGTTAAACCTGCTTATAACGAACCTCCATATAACAAATTCCTCGATATAATAAATTTTTTATATTTTCCGCCGCTACTCCATGCAAGCACATGTATTTGCGACCTCTATGTAACAAAATAACAGAGGGAGTCTACTTTATTATAACGAATTTTCCACACAGACAATCTGATTTTATTTGTGGGGTTTAACGCCCCAAAACCACCATATGATTATGAGAGACACCGTAGTGGAGGGCTCCGGAAATTTCGACCACCTGGGGTTCTTTCAAGTGCACTTAAATCTGAGCACACAGGTCTACAACACTCCCGCCTCCATCGGAAATGCAGCCGCCGCAGCCGCACACAGACAATCTATGAATTCCCCTCCGTATTTTGGCGTTTCGGTACGAGCATGCATCTTCCGCGGCTGCCCCACTGCCGACGAAGCAGCGGCGGCGAGCAGAGCGCACCAGGAGAAAGCGAGCGCTCGTTATTTTGCGCGAGTGAGCGAACACGAGGCAAGCAGACAGTCCCTGCTCGCCTCGCAGCTTGTGGAGGCAGGCGGGCAGGCCTGCACTCTACGAGCCATGTTGTCGCCGTTATCGCCGCCGCGAGCGTATGCGCGAATGTGCCCCCCCCCCCCCCCCTCCTTCAAAGCCAAAATTTAAAAAAACTACTTTTGCACGTTAGAAGTGCCACGCTTTTAGCTAGCGTCACATATGTGGGGCCGTGCTGCATAACGGGGGCACTTTATTGAATAGTTTCCTGCCGTATAAGTGTCTGTGTCCATGTCGTTTGCTTTTCGTTTTCGACGCCGAGCACGCGCGCATGGTTTGGCCACTGACGACGTTCAACTTTGCATTTTTTTTTTTGTTGCGATAGCATTCATATGAACAGTCTCAGCTGGTTTCTTGCCGTCACCGCCGCGGCCGTCATTCACCGTGTGTGTGTGTGTGTGTGTGTGTGTGTATATATATTTATATATATATATATATATATATATATATATATATATATATATATATATATATACGTATTTATATACAGTAGAATCTCGATGATACGATTACTGTTGATGCGAACATCGCGATGATACGAATTTTAAGGAAATTGATTAATTGATATGTGGGGTTTAACGTACCAAAACCACCATATGATTATGAGAGACGCCGTAGTGGAGGGCTCCGGAAATTTCGACCACCTGGGATTCTTTAACGTGCACTCAAATCTGAGCACACGGGCCTACAACATTTCCGCCTCCATCGGAAATGCAGCCGCCGCAGACGGGATTCGAACCCGCGCCCTGCGGGTCAGCAGCCGAGTACCTTAGCCACTAGACCACCACGGCGGGGCACGAATTTTAAGGTAGTTTTGAATGGACTACATTATATAAAATACACCCTGATTCAGTGTTACACGAATGGTTTCCCCAGCCACCACGGATGATACGAATGTGCGATTGACCGCTGCGTGCCAGCGGTGCATCACGGCAAAAACAGGCCGAGAGGCCGACGCAAAAAAACGGTCTGAGACCAATTTTCCCCCTCATGCGATAGCATAGTATCGCTTTATTGCTTCATGGCTTTGGCTTCACCGGCTGCTCTATCGCTCTATCTCTCAAACCACGTAATGTCAACAACCAGCCTCAAATCAACAGGGTGGAGAAGACATCGTCAGTAGGTCGCGTCGGCGCTATCGCGAACTAGCCGCCAAAACTCACGGCCTTGACAAGGAGACAGTCGTCGAGAGCTTCGTTTGAATTACAATCGCTAATAACACCAGAAGTAGAAGGTGCAGCAGCAACAAGTTGGCTTGCCCGAATGTGTCTTGCTTTTGCACTGCCGGCTGAATCTGTCGCCGCGGCTGTGCCCGCTCATGTCGTTTTGGCTGGCGTGTCTTTTGGCTGGCGTGGAATTAAGTTAGTAAAGGTGTAAACTGTTTGTTTTCAGGGCCTTGTATGCATAATTAAAACTCAGTATGAACTTCAGTGCTCAGGAAACGGACAAAATGGAATGAATTCTCAATCGGTGATGGTGGCGGCAGGGGTGGCATGCATACGAGGGGCAGAACGAATGTGAACAATTTCGGCGGGTGCAGACGTGGTTTTCCGGCCATGCTGGCATTTTCGCTTGAATTCTCCAATGCGAATTCTCCAGGACTCGTTATTTTTTGTGTCGACTTCGCGGCACAGTTTTCCAGCTGCTTAAGCGGGGAAGCGAGTGAATTTCCAATGAGTTTGGCCGCTTTCGCTCGCTCTGATGCTTGTGCACATGCGCTTATCCTTCAGTGGGGAGAATGACGAGCCTTCAACTTTGACCGGAACGATTGCGTTCAGTTGCCGGGTGCACAAAGGTCACTTCGCTTGCTGGACAGGCGCCGTTTGCGAAAAGAGTGTGCTTTTCAAACACAGCAAAGTAATAACTGGGGCACTTGTTAGTTCGCACTCATATCTGTACCTGTGATTACCTTTTGTGGCTCGTTTTTGTTTAAACAGCGCATTAAGTGTCGAGTGGTAAACATTGTTAGTTCACTCTCGTCCTGTGTATGTTGTTTTCGTGCGTCATTTGTGCGTAAGCAGCGCGCTGCACGTTTCCATGTGCTTGCCATTTTCGCCTTTACATTCCAAGTTGTTGCTATCCAATTCATTGCTTCGCCCTAGGGGCAAAACTGTGACTTTTCTTAATTTCAGACAACTGTGTCGTCAATACCGAGGGGATGTCAGATTAAGCCATGGTGTAAGAATAAGTTAGATGCTGAACACTCGCCGCTCCGCACAAGGAGAGGGTGCGGGCAGATTGTGGTTGCCGATGACCTAGAGCTATGAGTAGTTGCCGTTGGGCGAGTTGAGATGGCGCTGCTGCACGGCGCGCCAAGTATTCGCGCG